ACTGAACAAAAAGTTCGATCTGCAACTGACTGTGAACAATCAATTGAGACTCACTACCTTTGGAGCAGCCATTTATGGAGTGGCGTGTAAGTTGGGGGTGGGTGGAGTCTCTCTATATCGCCCAGGCTGGTCTTGAACTCCTGGCCTCAAGCGATCCTCTCATCTCAGCTTCCTGAATAGCTGAGATTATAGGCATGAGCCACCATGCCCAATATTAAAGTTCTTAAAAAAAAAATTACAGATCTGGGCCAAGCGCCGTGGCTCACTCCTGTAATCCCAGCACTTTGGGAAGCCGAGGCAGGTGGATCATGAGGTCAGGAGATCGAGACCAGCCTGGCCCTGTCTCTACTAAAAATACAAAACTTAGCTGGAAGTGGTGGCACATGCCTGTAGTGAGACTCTCTCTGGCGACAGAGTGAGACTCTGTCTCAAAAAGAAAAAACAAATTACAAATCTGAAGCTTACATGAGCAAAAAAATGTTCATTTATGAGGAGATTACATGGGTGTTTGCTATTCTGTTTCCTTTTCATTTTTCTGCTTTTCTCCAATATATATTGGAGACAGAGTCTGACTCTGTTGCCCAGGCTGGAATGCAGTGGCACAATCATAGCTCACTGCAACCTTGAACTCCTGGGGCCCATGGGATCCTTCTGCCTTGGCCTCCCAAACAACTAGGATTACAGGCACGTGTCACCATTCCTGGGTAATCTTTTTACTTTTATTAGACAGGGTCTCACTTTTTTGCCAAGGCTGATTTCCTTTACTTAAATATTTAAAAATATATAGACAAAATATAATCTCAATTTTCTTAAATAAAAAAGAGTGAGAGAGAGAGGAAATGTTATTTATATAAAGAAAATAATCAATATTGGTTATTCCTGGGGTAAGGGCTTATAGGTAAAATTTTCACTCTAGACCTTTCTGTATATCAAATTTTCTACCATGAATATCTTAGAAAAATCAGAAAAAATTTAATGTTTCATGTATAATTCCTGACTCATCTATTTAGATATTACAAGTCTCCTTGTAGCACATTCTATATTTGTATCACTGTGTTTATAGCCTACTTAGCTTTCACCTCTGAGAATCTCTGTCCTTTTCTCTTTCCCCTCCTTAAAAATTCTCCATTAGGACAGAAAATAGGTGTGACTAGTACACCATTCCAGTCCTTGGTTTAAAAGAATCATTTACCTCTCAGGGGAATTTCAATGAGATATGAAGAACATGAAAGTTTCCAAAACATTTTACCATGGGAAAGATAAATTACATATTTGCAAATACCTTCAACAAGTCTTGCTTTCTGTCTAAATCAATTTGTAAAATGAGAAGGTATGACTGTCTGATCACTAAGGTCTGCTCCTACTCTGAAGGTTTAGTCAGTTTATATCATAAAGTAATGTTATATACAAAGGTAGTATTTTACTTTTTTGACTCCCCTCTTAGGTATCCTATCTAAAGTAATAACTTCCCATTTTCTGTTTTTTTGGCCCTAATAAGATCCCACCCATTTTCAATAGTCACTATTTTATCGCCCTATTTCTTTGTCTTTAATAATAATCATTAACAATATTCTTTATTTATTGGTTTATTGTCTATTGTCTGTCTTCTTAGAACCAATAGAATATAAGTCTTTTCCACTATTTTACTCTCAGAGTTTAGAATAATGACTGATTGGTTACTCAAGAAATGATTAAATATTCAATGAATGAATGATAAATGCTAGTATTAAAAAATGAATAATATAAGGTTCTTCCCCTCAAGAAGTATGCTGCTTGGTAGGAAGGACATACATATTTTTAAAGTTCAATTTCAAAGTATTATGGGTGTTATAATGGAATAATACAAAATAAAGACATAGGAAGATATTATGAAAGAAAGATAGGAGAAAGTTTTTTTTTTTATTTTTAAGGCTGCATGGTTAAACATTGCCTGATAATTTTCTATTGCCAAATACTAGTCAATAATTGATGATTCAGAGATAAGTAACAGGCCAGGTGTGGTGGCTCACGCCAGTAATCCCAGCACTTTGGGAGGTCGAAGTGGGCAGATCACCTGAGGTAAGGAGTTCAAGACCAGCCTGGCCAACATGGCAAAACCCCATCTCTACAAAAAAACAAAACAAAACAAAACAAAAAAACACAAAAATTAGCCAGACTTGGTGGCTCGCGTGTGTAATCCCAGCTACTTGGGAGGCTAAGACAGGAGAATTGCTTGAACTCAGGAGGCAGAGGTTGCAGTGAGCCAAGCCTGGGCAGCAGAGCAAGGCTCGGTCTCAAAAAAAAAAAAAAAAAAAAAAAAGAAAAAAAAGAACACATTATCATGGAGCATACAGTCTAGAAGAGAACGAGTCATTTAAACATCTATGTTCCTTAAAATGTCCTAAGTGCTATGAGAATAACCTGTTTACAGTGCTATAACAACAGAGGGAGTTTGGCCCAATGCAAAAGTAGTTTTCTAGAAACGACACCTGAGCCGAATCTTAAGATTTAGACTGTAAGAAATAGCCTAGTCAAAGGGATTAAGTCTTCAACCTGATTATGACTTTTCCATCTGAAAATAAATAAAACTCTCTCCCTACAGCACCCTCCAGGTTACAATTGGGCCTTTCCTTACCATTTATAGCCAAACTTCTTAAAATAAAAATTTCTACTTATATACAACTTCTATTTCCACAGTGACTAATAACTTCATTAACACAAAATCAAAAGGTCGCTATTGACTTTTCTCCTTCTCTTGCTTTAATGTCTGTAACTTAAATTCACTTGTTTTTCCTCCCAATTCTGTAACTGCATTTGTAAGTCCTTCTTCCTCAGCCTGTCTATATTCACATATTTATATATTTATGTGTTACATATTTATCTGTTATAGATCTATATATTAAATCAGAAGTACTAAGTACTTGTACCAGGAATATTTTCAGATTATTTTTTTCAATGTTTCCAGAACTATAAGTCCTGCTTTTATTTTTGAGTATTCACAAACTACCTGTTTATTTTGCTCTTCTTGAGTTTTGTCAGATTTCATTCTTAGGTTTATGCTGTATATCAGTAGTTTAGTCCAATCAACAAATATCTGTTGAACAGCAAATATATGTGAAACACTGTATGGGGGGGCCACAGGGAGATAAAAAGCTACTTACAATAAGAATTAATCTTTACTCTGAGATTTAAAAATCTATAGTGAAATATATACAGGGCTGATATGCAGCCAGTATGTAAAGTGGACCATATTGATTGTTTATAGTTGATATCTGCTTTGATCTGATATAAGCCTAACTGGATCTGTGAATTTTGAAAAGCTACTTATTATACTGGATGAATCTTAATGTTCTCACTTGAAACAATGAGAATCATACTATCTCACAGAATTACAGCAAGGAATAAATAAGATAATGTTATAAGAAATTAATAACATAATGGCTGGGTGCAGAGGCTCATGCCTGCCCAGCAATTTGGGAGGCCAAGGCAGGCGGATCACCTGAGGTCATGAATTCAAGACCAACATGGCCAACATGGTGAAACCCTGTCTCTACTAAAAATACACAAGATTAACCAGAGTGATGGTGTGTGTCTGTGGTGCCAGCTAGTAGGGCAGTTGAGGCAGGAGAATTGCTTGAACCCAAGAGGCAGGAGTTGCCTCTTGTGAGTCGAGATTGTGCCACTGCACTCCAGCTTGGGTGACCAAGTAAGACTCAGTCTCCAAAAAAAAAAAGGAAAGACATCTGAAACTTAACATGCCATAAAGCAAGACTCAACAAGTTTTTGTGGTTTTCGTGGGGTTCTTATTTTTATTTATTTATTTTTTGAGACAAGATCTCACTCTGTTGCCCAGGCTGGAGTGCAGTGACATGATCATAGCTCACCATAGTCTCAAACTCCTGGGCTCAACTGATCCTCCCACCTCAGCCTCCTGAGTAGCTAGGACTACACATGTGTGCCACCATGCCTGGCTAATTTTTAAATTTATTGTAGAAATGGAGTCTCTCTGTGTTGCCCAGGTTGGTATTGAGCTCCTGGCCTCAAGTGATCCTCCTACCTCGGCCTTTCAAAGTGCTGGGATTACAGGCGTGAGCCACTGTACCTGGCCAAGACCCAACAAGTTTTATAAAATCATTATTATATATATTACTTTCTCTGACAATAATGCAATTAATCGCTACGTTAACAACCTGAAATATATCCTAAGAAAAGCTCCTGTGCTAGGGGAAGTTTAAAATCACATTGTAAATAACTCATTAGTTAAAGAAGAAATCAGTGGAACCTAGAAAATACACAGAACTAAATAATAATGAAAATACTATGCATAAATACTCATAGCAACAGCTGGAACCAAATTTAAGGACAATATGTAGCCCTAAATGCATGTATTAGAAAAGAAGTTTGAAAACGAATGAGCCTAGCATACGCATTACAAGTTGAAAAAGACCAGCAAAATAAACCCAAAGAAAGTAGAGGAGGAAAATAATAAAGAACAGAAATTAATGAAATAAAATTTATGATCTTGATAAAAACTAATAAAATGGACAAATCTCTAGTAAGATTAACCAAAAGAAAAAAACAGAAGGCATAAATAAATAATATTAAAAATGAAGAAAGAACATAATTACAGATAGGGCAGAGGTTAAAATACTTTCAATGAATTTATGCTAATATACTTTAAAACTTATGCAAAATAATATATACCTAATAAGTAACTTATAAAAAGTGACTCAAGAAGTAATAGAAAACATATATATCCTCAGAAAATGGAGTCAATAAAAAAAAGAAAACATATATGAATGGTATTCACTAAATTGAATCAATAGTTACAAAATTTCCCCCAAAGAAAATAGAAGGCCCCAATAACTTTACAATTTCTACTGTATACCCATGATTCAAGTATTTCTTATCTTATACGAGCACTTCCAGAGAATAGAAAGAGATTTCTGGTTGTTCGCCTAAATACATTTTCTTCTTTTTCCCAGGCAAAAAGCTAGACTACATGATCCAGCTTCTCATACCATTAGGTGAAGCCATATGACTGAGTTCTAACCAATAGAATTTGAGTGGAAGTGATGTCATAAAAACATTCCAGGCAATTTTCTTCATGCTCTTTCTCCCTTTAGGCTGACTGGGATGGAGATGATCCCCAGGGAAACCTTGGAAGCCACGTATTGGTGTTACTACCATCAATCAACTGGATCTAATTGACATTTATAGAACATTCAACCCAACAGGAGCTAAATCCATATTCTTTTTAAGTGCATGTGATACATTAACATCTAACACAGAGAAATCATTGAAAACTACCATAACTTCTAAATAACACATTTCTAGATAATCATTATTCTAAAGAGGAAGTCTCAAAGAAAAATAAAAAATATTTTCAACAAATAAAATGAAAACACAGTATATCAGAATTTACAGTATGCCACTAAGGCAGTACTTATGGGGTATAAGCTACCATTTTTTTCAAAAAAGGGCAACATTTTAGCTTTCTGAAATTATAGATCCATTACTATACTATATATATTTCATCACAAATTTGACTTTTTGTTCTTGATGAACTATAAATACACATTTCATAATCTAATCGTTTATGTGAGTTCAAGCAATTCTTCTGCCTCAGTCTCCCAAGTATCTGGGATTATAGGCCCCCATCACCATGCCCAGTGAATTTTTGTATTTTTAGTAAAGACAGGGTTTCACCATGTTGGCCAGGCTGGTCTTGAACTCCTGACATCAGGTGATCTGCTCGCCTGGGCCTCCCAAAATGCTGGGATTACAGGCATGAGCCCCCTGGCCTGGCCAGCTTATTTTTAAAGTAAACTAAATCCAATGAATTATGTATATCTTTGTTATCAAGTAAAAGAGGCTCACTGCCCAATGTGATTGCAGCAAATACTATGTAATTGGGTTTTTGAGAAAAGGAAAAAGAAATGCTTCTTTTTTCTTTTTTTTTTCCAGATAAGGTCTTGCTCTGTTACCTAGCCTAGAGTGCCGTGGCTTGATGGTGGATCACTTCCACCTCTATCTCCCAGTCTCAAACAATCCTTCTGCCTCACCCTTCCAAGTAGCTGGGACTTCAGGCATATGCCACCACACCCAGCTAATTTAAATTTTAAAAAATTTTTTTAGAGATGGGATCTCACGATATTGTCCAGGCTAGTCTCGAACTCCTGAACACAAGTGATCCTCCCACCTCAGACTCCAAAACTGTGAGGATTAGAAGCATGAGCCACTGCACCCAGCCAAGAAAAGCTTTTTATTGAAAGTCAACCAACACAGAGACAGGAGTCCAACTCAAATCTGTCTCCCTATGCTGGCTTCAAGGCAGTATTTTTATTAGAAAAGGTTCAGGGGGAGCATTCTGAAATTAGTAGGTGATTGGTGGAAGAAAAGGAGGTCTGGAAAGTCCTCAGGCATGTGTACTTATCTCTTCATGCCCTCTCATGGGTGCCATGTGCAAATTCAGAGAGAGTTAATATGAAACATATGGTGGAAATTCAGGCTATAATGTCAGCAAACTCATTCTGTGCAAACTACAGTTGGCCATATTGGTTTCAACTGATTTTAGTCAGTTTTGTTATCTTATTATTATTATTATTATTTTAGATGGAGTCTCCCTCTGTCACCCAGGCTGGAGTGTGGTGGCGCAATCTTGGCTCACTGTAACCTCTGCCTCCTAGGTTCAAGGAATTCTTCTGCCTCAGCCTCCCAAGTAGCTGGAATTAGTCATGTGCCACCAGGCCTGGCTAATTTTTGTATTTTTAGTAGAGACAGGGTTTCACCATATTGACCAGGCTGGTCTTGCAGACCTGACCTCACGATCTGCCGGCCTCGGTCTCCCAAAGTGCTGGGTTTACAGGCATGAGCCAATGTGCCCAACCCGTGTTATCTTATTGTTAATAGCAAAGAAAGTTTCAGCTTTTCAGCAAGTTGCTGCTTCTGTTTCATCCTGCAAACCCAAGAATATCTGCTGTTAGTTTCTTTAACTCTTTGGAGTAGGATTTCATCTTCAGTCAGCTTATTTGACTTTTTATTCCCAATGAACTGTAAATGTACTGCAGGTATTCTAAACCTCTGCTTTTTGCTCAAGTTTTCAATCCCATGTAGCACTGTCCTTAATTTCAGATGACCCCTCTCACCTTATGCTATCAAAGTGTTTCTTCCCACATTTAAAAGTCTTTTAAACCTTATAGTTACAGTAATTGCATAAAATTTCAATGTTATAAAAAGCAAGGTGATATTTCAACCTTCCTTCTTATATTTCTTCTTAAATTAGTTGGATCAGCTTTTGCCTAAACTTACAAGAAACATTACCATATTTGCTATAAGATTTTTATTGAGTATGGCTCTTGCCATATCCCTAAATAATAGTTGTTATTCCCAAATAGTCCCTAAACAAAATGCCACATAAGAAATTATTTTTTTCTTTCTATCAAGGATAACAATGTAGTTGACCTATGTCATTTCATATTTTCTTTATATTTTTATTGATTCATAATAGATGCATATTTACAGAGTACATGTTATAATTTGATATATTAATAGAATCATATCAGGATAATCGGGATATTGAACACCTTAAATATAAAAATTTTTTTTTTGAGACAGAGTCTTGCTCTGTCATCCAGGCTAAAGAAGACCGTGGTGCAATTATAGCTCACTGCAGCCTTGACCTCCTGGGGTCAGATGATCCTCCATCCTCAGCCTCCTGAGTAGCTGGGACTGCAGGTGTGCACCACCATACCCAGATAATTAAAAACAATTTTTGTATGTGTGTGTGGAGACGGGGTTTCACTATGTTGCCCAAGCTGATCTTGAACTCTTGGGTTCAAGTGATCCTCCTGTCGCGGCTTCCCAAAATGTTGGGATTACAGGTGTGAGCTATTGCACCTAGCTATATCTTCTCTGTATGCTAGTAACATTCAAATTGTTCTCTTCTAGTTATTTTTAAATGTATAATAGATTAATATTAACTATAGTCACCTTACTGATCTATCAAATACCAGTTTTATTTTTCCTATCTAACTGTATGTTTGTGTCCATTAATCAACTCCCTCCCCACACTCTTTCTGCCCTTTGGTAACCACCAATCTACTGTCTTCATGAGATCCCCCTTTTTACTTAAAATTTTATGGATATATAATTGTTGTACATATTTATGGAGTACATGTGATATTTTGATATAAGCACACAATGCGTAATGATAAAACCAGGGTAATTGAAATACACATACCCTCAAACATTTATTATTTCTCTATAGTAGGAGAGATCCACTTTTTAGGCTCCCACATAGAAGTGAGAACATGAGGTATTTGTATTTCTGTGTTTGCCTTATTTCACATAAAAATGACCCCCAGTTTCATGTTCCTGCAAATGACAGAATTTCATTCTTTTCTATGACTTAATAATATAATAATATTCTTTTGTGCATATATACCACATTTTTCTTTTTCATTTTTCTTGTTTTTTTTTGAGATGGAATCTTGCTCTGTCACCCAGGCTGGAGTGCGGTGATGCGATCTTGGCTCACTGCAACCTCTGCCTCCCAGGTTCAAGCGATTCTCCTGCCTCTCCTCTGGAGTAGCTGGGATTATAGGCACTTCCCATCATGCCCAGCTAATTTTTTGTATTTTTAGTAGAGACGGGGTTTCACTGTGTTGGCCGGGCTGGTCTTGAACACATGACCTTGGGTGATCCGCCTGCCTTGGCCTCCCAAAGTGCTGAGATTACAGACGTTAGCCAACGTGCCTGGCCACCACATTTTTCTTTTAAATTGACAAATAATTGTACATATTCACAGGGTACATAGTGAGGTTTCATACATACATAGTGACCAGATCAGAGTAATTAGCATACATATATAGTGATCAGATCAGGGTAATTACTATCATCTCACAAATTTATCATTTATTTGTGTTGTGAACATTCAGTACCATCTTCTAGCTATTTCATACTATAATTCTCCTACAGTGGCATAGAACACTAGAATTTATTCCTCCTATCTAGCTGCTATTTTGTATCCTGTAACAAATCTGTCCTTATCCTCCCTTCCCCCTAAACTTCACAGTCTCTAGTATTCTCTGTTCTACTTTTCACTTCTATGAAGTCAACTTTTTTTAACTTGTATATATGAGTGAGAACATGCAATCTTTGTCTTTCTGTGCCTGGCTTGTTTCACTTAACATATGTCCTCCAGTTCCATCCATGTTTTTGTGAATGACAAAATCTCATTCTTTTTGTGGCTGAATAGTATTCCATTCTGTATCTATGCCAAGTTTCCTTTTTTTTTTTCAGACAGAGTCTCTGTCTCCCAGGCTGCTGGAGTGCAATGGGGTGATATGAGCTTACTGCAACCTCTGCCTCCTGGGTTCAAGTGATTCTCCTGCCTCAGCCCTCCAAGTAGCTGGAATTACAAGCACCCATCACCATGCCTGGCTAATTTTTGTATTTTTAGCGGAGATGGGGTTTCACCATGTTGGCTAGGCTGGTCTCAAACTCCTGACCTCAAGTGATCCACTTGCCTCGGCCTCCCAAAGTGCTGGAACTACAGGCAGGAGCCCAGCCGCCACATTTTCTTTATCCATTCATCTGTTGCTGGACACCTAGGTTGATTTCATATCTTGGCTATTGTGAACAGTGCTGTGATAAACATAGGGGTGCAGGTGTCACTCTGATATACTCATTTTCTTTCCTTTGGATAAATACCCAGTAGTGGGATTGCTGGACCATGTAGTAGTTCTTTTTTTTTTTTTTTTTTGGTTTGGTTTTTTTCTTTTCTTTTTTTTTTTTATATTCTTATCTGAAGTGAGAACAAAGTTCTATTTGTAGTTTTTTGAGGAAACTCCATTCTGTTCTCCGTAGTGGTTGTACTAGTTTATATTCTAATGAACAGTGCATGAAAGTCCCCTTTTCTCTGCACCCTCACCAGCCTTTGCTATTTTTGTCTTTTTAATAATAACTATCTTAACTGGGATGAAATGATAGTTCATTGTGATTTTTGTTTACAGGTACCTGATGATAAGGAATGT